AACCCTTAAATACTGAAACACAAACCCTAGTAGGTGTTTTAACTCCAAACCCTTAAATACTGAAACACAAACCCTAGTAGGTGTTTTAACTCAAAACCCTTAAATACTGAAACACAAACCCTAGTAGGTGTTTTAACTCAACACCCTTAAACAAGTTATTACTGAAACACAAACTGATCCACTAGTCTTCTACCTCCCCAGGTTTCTCAATGATTGCTGACATACCTTTCAGTAATACATAATATAAAACATCAAGTTATAGCTAGTAATCAAAAATGAAAAAAACAGCATTAAATGAGTAGATAACAAGTTCAAATTTATAAAATTTGAAAATACTGGAGTAGTGAGAAAAAGTTAAGAGTAGATAAAAGTTCAGAATCTAATGGCGTAATCTTGAACTTGAGTGGTAAGGTAGCTCATCTTTTAAAAATCGAAATGGAATCTCTGAAGTTGTAAAACTAGGACATCAAAATATGAATGTTACTTTTAAGAAGATGGCACTTCAATTCACACACACACACACACACAAAATGTGAAGCACACAATTTGTTGGTTCTTAGATTTTATGTTTTAATATGTGTTAGGTTGTGCTAAAATTAAAGTAGTGGTATCAGTAATTTCATAAATAAAACAGTACCTTTAAGTAGCATTATAACTATGTCAGCAATACTGCTTACTGGATAACTGCCAAACAGGGGTTTATGTCATTAAACATCATTTTAATTTAAAGAAACAGAACTACACATCCAACATCACCTAGGCTTTCATATTATTGATAAACAGAACCAAATTTCATTAAATTTTTTTAAATACAAAGGAATCAAAGCTGTAAAGAAATCACATTGACGAAACTTGCATATGGAGTTCGAGTCTCAACAATAATTAACTAAGAAAGTAAAAAATGTTTAAAACTTAAAAAAATATAATTAATCTAATTTCTATACGATATCTTACCTCCTCTCACAAAATAGGTTTTCCCCATTAGTACTGCCCTCTATCGGTACAAATTTTCAATGCTTGCCACTAGCCTTCCACCTCCTGCTACTGCATATCCACATGTAAATGATTATGCTGCAGCTCTCCACCAATAGGAACACAACACAACCCCTATCGTAACCAGCACCCTCTCCACATTTGCACTCTTTAATCACTTCTTGATTGGCAGTAGTACTGTACAGACTCGCTTGTTTTGCTCGCAAGTTTGTTGACATTTTCCTTTATACTACAGACTTAGTATTTTACTATGTTTTTGATATTTCTTTATTTACAGGGGTCTTTTTGCTAGTGTATTGTGGATCCCACTCTGTGGCGAGTGTTGCCTGACCAGGTGTACTTTTTGTTTTGAAAATCTGCACTGTCCATCCTGTGACCATCCTCATTGTCAATTACATTGTAGTTCTGATGTATAATTCCAGATGATGCAAGGTGTTGGCTGTGTGTCTTTGTTCAATTGTCATCAATGCCAATTACATTGCAGGATTGGGTTATGCACACTGTAGAGATGAGGTGTTCCAAAAGACCACTAGTAGTTCTCTCTCTAGTGGTTTTTTGCTTCATAAATATGTTCATCCCAGACCGTACACTCATGGACACGTGTAAGTAAAGCAGACAGGGATTGTTGCCCATTTCTGATGCTCCTTGACGTACAATTCCGAATGATGCGGGGTGTCTGTTGACTCCGCCGACGTGATAGCTCTACTTTTCAAAGTAGTATATTGTGGTAACCCATTGCACTGTCTCCAGTGATGTGGTCCTCTGGACTCTCCAATTCATTTTCCCTCCTTTCTTCTAGTAGAGTATGGGACTCCTTGCTACTTACCAGTTCCTAGCTGCTGGGGTGGGGGACCATGGAAGCCTGTCTTCCTTGAGTGATGCAACATATCACTCAATTGAGAGTAGGGCGGTGGTATTCTGTGTGTGCCGATGGTGTATAGTATTTCCTACTGCAGACTTGATGTACAATTTCAGATGCTGCCAGGTTTTGGTTGTAGCACTATGCTGTATTAATGTATACATATCTGACAGAGTACATTTTCTGGATGTACATTCCCAGTGGGTCTTGTGTTGGTTGGAGATGGCCCAGTCATTATTAGAATCATGTGTCGATGGTGTGATGCCCTTCCTACCATGGATCTGATGAACAATTCCAAATATTGCCAGGTTTGGTTAAATCACTTCCCCATATCACGACAACATGGTTCCGGGAGATCAGGTGTTGGTTGGAGATGGTCCAGTCATTATTAGAATCATGTGTCGATGGTGTGATGCCCTTCCTACCATGGATCTGATGAACAATTCCAAATATTGCCAGGTTTGGTTAAATCACTTCCCCATGTCACGACAACATGGTTCCGGAAGAACAGGTGTTGGTTGGAAATGGTCCAGCTGACCTCATATGTGTTCTGGCCAGTATCCCTCCTCCTACCATGGACTGGATGAAAAATGCCCAATGCTGCCAGGTTTTTGATTGGAGATGCACCCCAGGTTTGTGGTCCCTCTTGCTACCATCTGCTGGATGCAGCACGTTTATTCCCACTTGTACAGCTGGTATCCTCTTTCTACTGCGGCCTGGAAGAACCATACCCAATGCTGCAAGGTTTTGGACCAGAGATGTCATCCCACCAGGGCTTTCCTCCTTCCTACCATCCACTGAATGTCAGTTCATGGTAGACCAGGTGTTGGTTGGGATGGAAATGTGCACAAGTGGAGACAGATTTTGGTATGAAAGCTTGTCTTCCCTACCACTTTCCATTTCAAAGTGAAGAGGTAGGTGATCCTCTGCCTACCACAGAACTGTTGTAAAATTCCAGATACCTACTAGTGTTGGATGAGGTCAAACTACCACTACTGTCTGTCACGCCCTAGCCACTCGACACCCAGGGGTCCCATTAATCAGTAATACATATTATGGGATTCCTTCATGTTTTTCCACCTTTTATTTTCGTGACACAGTCATAAAAGAGTGAAGAGTATACCTGGATCAGATGTGGTGAGGTCTCCCACCGAGGTGTGATATTTTTCTTTTTCTTTCCACACCTCATGGTCTCTCTTTACGTGTTTCCTAAAGAGGGATAAATTTCTCACTGGCCCTCCACCAGTTCAATGTGGGATTCTAGCTATCTTTTGATATAATATCATATCGGAAGTTAACATTTCCCACCCAGCCTCCCTAATAATATGTAGTGAAGGCCTTCTGACCAATTTTGAAGTGATTAATGACGGCAAATGTGGAGGGGACGTTGGTTATGATAGGGGTTGTGTCATGCTCCTATTGGTGGAGAGCTGCTGAATTATCATTTACATGTGAATAAGCTGGAGGTGGAAAGCTAGTAGCAAGCATTGAAAATTTGCATAGATAGAGAGCAGTACTAATCAAGAAAACTTATTTTGTGAGAAAAGGTACAGATAGAGGGCAGTACTAATCAAGAAAACCTATTTTGTGAGTGTAGGTAAGTATCTATTGGAAATACATTTGCAGTTTAGGAAAATATTAACTTACATTACATATGTGCAATTTTAGGAAATATGTACAAATGAATATATTTTTTTTCACATTATAATTTATTTCTATCATTCAATTTCAACAAGAAAAATCAGTTCAGCCAGACCAATCGGGTTTCTCTCCTCTTCCATCTTTTTTGCTATTATTTGTAACAACTAACAGTATTAAGTCAAAAAATACGTACCATACATATAACCACATGGACGATAAAGTACTTTAATAGTATATGTGTAAAAAAAATGTTATTATTTTCAACTCTCAAAAAGTTAGTTCTGATGTACTCTTCAAATGGAAATTTTAAATCATTGTTTTTTTTTACTCTTTAAAAAAACAATATACATGATAGTACTCACAAATATAACAACAAAAACACAGCTTGCTAACAGGAACTCACCAATTCTGTACTTCTTCTCAGAACAACTTATTTTAAGGTTGACATACTTGAAGATTGTGACTAATTTAAATAAAAACTTTTGTACAGCAGGTATCCTAAAAATTTTATGAGAAACGTTTTAAAGCCAGGATAGTTGTAAATGTATCTTACATATTTTAATGTAATTATATAATTCCTTGTTTGTAGTGAAGCATAAAGCTACACAATGTGCCCATCAGCAATACTGAAACCTGGTTTTTAGCAATGTAAGCCTTTAGGCTTACCACTGAACCACTTGGGAGCAATTCATTGTCAACAAACAATAAGTTAACTTATCTATAAATATATCTTACATTTTTCTGTAAACAATATGTATATATCATTGTCTACCAAAAGTCTAGTTAACTTCACTATAAATATAAATTTTTTTCGTAATATTAGTAGGTGTATATGGGTATGATATTTTAAAGAAAACTCATAATTTTTCTTACAGAAATTTAAAGAAATGATTTTTCCTTAAAGTTGGACATTCTTGCTATGTGTTAAAATCACGTTTCTCAATAATCTAGTCAACCTTCGTATAAGCTGTTCTGAAGAAACACCAGGATTGTACACTCAGGTTTTAGAAGAAGGTGAGAAAAAGATGAAATAAAAACAGGTTTCGAGTGCCAAAACTGCAACAGAAACACTACTGTTGTCAACATCAGTTTGAGAAAAAAAAATAAACCCACAACCTCACCATGAAGGAAGAAAATGAAGGTTAGAACAAAAAAAGTCACTAGAGAATATCTAAGATTTTCATAGTTAGCAACTAAATAACAGAACAAAACTTGTACCAGACAGAAAAACAAAAACTTGGGTACTTTTTCCATGGATAAGGAGGAAAAGATAAGAAAACTCAATTAAGTGATATTAGAGAAAGTAAGCATGCTGTAAGAGAAAGGGGGTCACCACTACAGGTTAGTGGGTTACCTTGAAAAGCTGTACTCCAATCACAGCAAACATGAACTGAAGAAGATAAGTCACCAACATGATGTTGCATATTGTTTTGACGGCAACAATGACGCACTTCACTACGTACTAAAGATGAAACAAGAAACAATATTGTCAGAATATTTCATTTGATAATAACACAGTGTGTTAAAAAAAGCCTGGCTGTTTTAGCGATCCTCGGAACACGGTACGGAAATGGTGTTTTAAAACCTGTATGGTCCTTGGGAGTATTGTAGAGAAACAGTATTTTAAATGTGTACAATAATTACACTTTTTTATGCCAAAAGCGCTATCTTCTTTCCAGCAGGCTTTCTTTAACTGTCCTGTTGACCCAATTATCCACCATAAATTGTGGTTTATCATACACTGAAAACAGTGACAGCCTACCTGGAAAATTTGTACTCCAATGACCGCAAACATGAAGTTTAGTAGAAAGGTCACCAACATGAGGTTGCCTATAGTTTTTACTGCTACTATCACACACTGGACTACATGCTAAATAATGCAAACATAAAATACAACACACTATTTAATATCAGCAACCTACGAAATAAAAATAATCTACAGGAAAAATGATGTTAAAACATAAGCCAAAACTCAATATTCTTAAAATACAGCCAACAATCACACCTTAAATAGGGATATACATTACTTAAGTATTTAATACAATAATGAAGTCAAGATTCTACATTGATAACTGCACCTACTCATTTTCAGAATGATATTTTTTCAGTATAATCACAATTAAACAGCCTAATATACCTGTTAATTTAACTACACAAATGAATAAAAGGGCTTTAGATTTCTAATGAATATAACCCAATACTCTATACAGACACATACAGCAATCAATGGTTATTAAATACTCTGCAGTATGCTACCATATGAATATAGAAAGTATCGGTACTTACTCATTTGTTAATTTCTTTTCCTAACCAAAATGCCAAAATTTAAGCGAAGAAAAGATTATGTAGAGGGCTAAGCTATTCTTTGATATGCTACTCCCACTGCAGCAGACTAGTTTCACTGAATTCACAGCTCATCAGTACTGCTTGGAAGAGCAAAGCAAATAAGTAAAGTAGGCCTAATGTAGTGGTGGACTGTAACAAATTCTTGTATACTAGTAGCATGTAAAGAAGATATACCAACAAGTAAAGTAGGCTTAATATAGTGATGGAATGTAACAAATACCTGTATACTAGTAGCATGTAAAGAAGATATACAAAATAAGTAAAGTAGGCTTAATATAGTGATGGACTGTAACAAATACTTGTATACTAGTAGCATGTAAAGAAGATATACAAATAAGTAAAGTAGGCTTAATATAGTGATGGAATGTAACAAATACTGTATACTAGTAGCATGTGAAGAAGATATACAAAATAAGTAAAGTAGGCTTAATATAGTGATGGAATGTAACAAATACCTGTATACTATTAGCATGTAAAGAAGATATACAAAATAAGTAAAGTAGGCTTAATATAGTGATGGAATGTAACAAATACCTGTATACTAGTAGCATGTAAAGAAGATATACAAAATAAGTAAAGTAGGCTTAATATAGTGATGGAATGTAAGAAATACCGGTATACTAGTAGCATGTAAAGAAGATATACAAAATAAGTAAAGTATGCTTAATATAGTGATGGAATGTAACAAATACCTGTATACTAGTAGCATGTAAAGAAGATATACAAATAAGTAAAGCAGGCTTAATATAGTGATGGAATGTAACAAATACCTGTATACTAGTAGCATGTAAAGAAGATATACAAAATAAGTAAAGTAGGCTTAATATAGTGATGGAATGTAACAAATACCGGTATACTAGTTGCATGTAAAGAAAATATACAAATAAGTAAAGTAGGCTTAATATAGTGATGGAATGTAACAAATACCTGTATACTAGTAGCATATAAAGAAGATATACAAATCTTTTATGACACTATGACACTCCACAAGATTCTTAACTCGCATCCTCTGGGGAAAAAAAAGTGTTAATTTTGAGCAATGCTGTGAGTAAATCATTGTGAGAAAAAGGTACATAGATATATTAAAATGTGCAAACTAGGAACAGAAAGACAAAAGTGGTTTGTTTGCAAGCCAAGTAAGCTTGATATAAGATATATATATATATATATGAGCAACTACATATAAAATCTAATATAAAATAATGCTGCATATATATACTTGAGTAAGGAAGCACATTATGTGAATATAATAACAGGTAAGTAAACAACGATTTATTAACATAAGGAAACGTTTTATTGATGGTGGAACATACTACATGTTTCAACAGAACATTGTTCTGTCTCTTTCAGGTATAATGTGTACATGTCAAATTTGTAACAAGCACACAGTACTTCTGTGTTAAACTTCTAAAATATGTCATATAAAGTAAATCTGTATTAAATACAGAAAATTTTAAGGTATACAATGTGATTTTTAATGTGAGGTGGTAATATTGGAAATTTTGAAAACTTACTTTAAGGATTCCAAAAATATCCTACTGACCTCTATAGGACGTTACAATCGGAAATATTACTTAGTTATCACTAAATGATTGAAAACTTTAGATGTCATTATGAGGAAATTGAGGTAAAAACAGCATTTGTTTAGAGTACATTCAACAATATTCTGGGATTTAAGATGTACTATGTTATTAAAACACTGGAATAACAAACCATGACTCAGTTAATAAAGGACTTGTCCCCACTGAATATGATTGTATGCTCCATAGTGCACTTTTCTGTAAGATTTATAAAGGTCAGTTCCTGAAACTGATGTCCAGTTTGAGTCAAGATACTATAAAGGAAAGAACTCATGGACCTGTAAAGAGGAATGACTATTGGATGAAATATTGGTGATATGAGTGCTTAAAAATTATAGTCTTTTTGCTCAAAGCTCATTTCAGTGTAGATGATGTGCTAAAAATAATGGTAGAGCACTGGTCCATATGGATTATTAGTCCAGTTTCTTATAAATAGTTACTCCCTGGTTCATGAAAACCAAAACATATCCCAGGTTTTTTTAAAACCATCACCTCAGGACATTTTTATTCAGGACTATAGGTCAGCACAGATTTTACAATCAAGAATACAAATTATCAGATATTATGTGGAGCTACTATTTTTTCTATTAGATGTTGTTGTTGTTTTTCCTTTGGAAGGATGAGTCCGAGTTCAAAGCAACTTTGAAAAACTCTTCATACATGTCATACCAACTGTGAAGAATGGTTAGGAGCAGTTTAGCTGGTCTTGACTTGGTAATATTTGAAGAACTCGTGAATGCCTTATTGAATTATGGAGAATATGGTACTGCCTGCAGTGACAGAATCCTAGGGGAGAGGGGGTCATACCTCTTTCAGAATCATAATGTACTATGCCATACCATACACTATGTCCAGCCAAAAGCCCAGATCTCAATTCAGCCATACATCACATCCAGAAGTAGTCTGAGATGATTGATGGCCAGCCAAGAACCCAGAATACAAGTGAATTGCTCTGGAATGACTGTCTTTGGGAAGGAATAGAAAATACTTCAAAATCTCTCTACATCTGGAATTGCTTTATAAGATCAATAACAATCTATTCTTAGTGATGTGTAGCAGAAGCTAGTAACAAGTGTTTGTAACAGAGTTCAGCCTGTGATAAATGCCAGTTCATAAACCAGCTCATTGATCAAGACAGTCTGGGAAAGTTTAGTATTTGTTTGTTTTGTTTTTGAATTTCGCGCAAAGCTACATGAGGGCTATCTGCACTAGCCATCCCTAATTTAGCAGTGTAAGACTAGAGGGAAGGCAACTAGTCAACACCACCCACCGCCAACTCTTGGGCTACTCTTTTACCAATGGATAGTGGGATTGACCGTCACATTATAACACCCCCACGGCTGAAAGGGCGAGCATGTTTGGTGGAACGGGGATTCGAACCCGCAACCCTCAGATTGCGAGTCGAGCGCCTTATCCACCTGGCCATGCCGGGCCCGAAAGTTTAGTAATTGTTGTATAAAGACAGTAAGATTAAAAGCAATGTGGAACTATTCACACAATTAAGTTTCCATTACAATAACATAACATTAAGAAATATTAATGCTAATATTATAACTAAAGGGTAAAACTGTACATTAACCACATTTACAAAAATGTTTGAAATCCAAAAAAACAAAACATTTTACCACTTCAGCATAAAATTTGCACATATCTAGCCAATTACAACCAAAATATAACTGATGTAGTTTGATTTAGTTATTGTTAAATGCAAAGCTATACAATGGGTTATCTGTGCTGATGCCCACCATGGGTAACCAAACGTTTTTTAGCACTGTAAGCCTGCACACTTACTGCTGAGCCACCAGAGGGGGTAACTGAGTAGTCTAATATTAAGGAACATTAAAGTTTCAGTTCTGAATCACTAAAGTTATCTTACAATTACAGAAACTGATATCAGGGAGAAAAAGCCACTAAAACCAACTTAGGCCTCTGGCACTAGAGTGCACAAAAACAAACAAACAAATACATATCAAAAGAACTAGAGCTAAAACAATTATAAAAAGTGAACTTTTTATGGACTTAAAAAATTTTAGAAATCGTAGAAATAATACATAGAATAACTGGAAGTAGCAAATCAAAGCCTCTACATCATTCCTACTTTTAGAAATCGTGAAATAATACATAGAATAACTGGAAGTAGCAAATCAAAGCCTCTACATCATTCCTGGATTCTTTCTTTTCTTCACTGAAATTACACATCTTTAGTGAGGAGAAGAAATTATTATGTAGAATACCTTAACCCTTGTTGTTGTTGTTGTTATTTTTTGGTGCCATGATACACGATGGGCTAGATGAGCTCTGTCCACTGCATGGAATCGAACCCTGGATTTTAGCACTGTAAGTCCGTAAGCTTACCGCTGACCCACCAAGAGATTACTTTAACTCAAACTAACAATTATGAAAGCAAATAACTTGAGCAGTAGATGGTTAAGCTGATCTTAAATCCAATATATTATACCAGGGCCTTGTCATAACTTTTACAAAATAGAAGCTAAGTACACAAAGTAGCTGAATGTCAATGGAAGGAAAATGTATTTTGTCTATACATATAATTACTTACGAATGTTTACAATAAGGTTTATCAGTATATTGCTTTGGAAATTGAAATAAAAATTGCTTATGTTTTGATTTAATCTCTTTGTTAATTTAAAAAATACTTAATTTTGTTTTAGATTATACATTATTTGTCAGTGTAAATCAAGGAGAAAATTTACAAGAAGAACTTAATCTGGAATGATAAAATCTTGTATAATATGGACATTTAACTAGCAATAGTAATACAAGCTAGATATATGCATATGAAGTAAGAAAATAATTTATGTGTAACTACAAATAACGCAAATAATACTAACCTTTAAACCTTTGGCACGATTGATAGCTCGGAGTGGCCTTAGAACTCTCAATACACGCAGAATTTTAACCACAGAGATTGCTTCATTACTTGAAACAGAGAAATATGATAATAAAAACTGACTTTATAGAAAAAATAAACTTTATTAATTAGACATTTGGAACTAAGTCTAAATGATACTTCTTTCTACACTGAATAAGCCTAAATTTTTAATTAGGTAAAAAATTAATAGTGAGAACATCAACTATAACAAAAATAAGAAGATGAAGATAAAAACAGTTTTATTTATCACTGTACTTACAGAAAAATAAGAAATGCTTCTATTTAATAGGTTTGAGAACTTTGATGGACTGTTGAATTAAAAGGAAATGATGCTTTGCTTTCTACATTGAGGCCTTCAGTACAGAAACTGAAACATTGTCCCCTTTTCATTAAAATGGTAGTTGAACCAATGTTTAAAGTTATGATGAAACAACATGTTTATTGCTGAGCTATAGTTAAACACTGGACATAGAAATAAATAAAGTTCTTGTCTGTACTATCAACATAGTGATTAGTTATAATAACACTTAAAATATAAAAAACTGGTCTTTGTATGAATTAAACGTGTTACAATTCATCATGATTCACGTGTCATGAAAAGCTTTTGTTGGTCTTATCACCTAGACATATCACTATAAAAACAGATGGAAGCTCCTGTGTGTACAGTCAGTAAATGTACAGTACAGTACAGGTTAATGATGTTCTGTGTATTATCCATACACACAAACAAGAATGGTTTCTTTACATATTTTCAAAGTGTTTATAGATTTCCACTATATTGTTAATATTTACAAAAATTTCTAAATATGTACGGTGTTACAAAATGTCTTTTACTTACAAAAGTTTCTAAATATGTACAGTGTTACGAAATGTCTTTTACTTACAAAAATTTCTAAATAAGTACAGTGTTACGAAATGTCTTTTACTTACAAAAGTTTCTAAATGTGTACAGTGTTACGAAATGTGTTTTACTTACAAAAGTTTCTAAATATGTACAGTTACGAAATGTGTTTTACTTACAAAAGTTTCTAAATATGTACAGTGTTACGAAATGTCTTTTACTTATAAAAGTTTCTAAATATGTACAGTGTTAAGAAATGTCGTTTACTTACAAAAGTTTCTAAATATGTACGGTGTTACGAAATGTCTTTTACTTACAAAAGTTTCTAAATATGTACAGTGTTACGAAATGTCTTTTACTTACAAAAGTTTCTAAATATGTACTGTGTTACGAAATGTGTTTTACTTACAAAAGTTTCTAAATATGTACAGTTACGAAATGTCTTTTACTTACAAAAGTTCCTAAATAAGTATGGTGTTACAAAATGTCTTTTACTCACACAGCGAACCTATATTTATGTAGGAATTTAAAGAATATGCAGCATTGATGTTACTAATTTCTTGTTGTGAATTATTCAGCCAGACAAGCTGTTTAAAAAATTAAAACGAATATGAAGCCCATTCAGGGTTACCGATTGAGGGGTGGAATGCCCCAAAACTGTTATAACAAGTGGTAAATCAAATGATAGATTTGGTTTCACATTTAATTTTTAGTAAATGTTTCTAAATCTTGCAAAACTATCAGTAACTTAAATAAACTTATCAAGTTCTCCTTTTATTTCTATACTAGGTATCACATGTTTGGAAATCTGTGTGTTATCAGGAGTTATTTCAGTAACTTTATGAATTATTTTAAATTTGTTGTGTTTTATTTCAAGTGAGTGTTTAAAAAAAGAATTTGATAATTTTGTCCAAAAGCTTTTTAAAATTACTTGTTTCACACATATATATATAACAATATCAAAGAATATTTCATAACGAGAGCATAAACATGAATTACACTTACTCCAAAGCAAACGAGACCAAAGACACACAGACTACAAGGACATCTAACATGTTGAAGGCGCTGCGACAGTAAGAGGCCTTATGAAGAATAAGCCCATATGCTACTGCCTGGTGAAAACAAAGAATTAATAAAAGTTGTGATTTTTATATAAATAACAAAAAACAAAACATGTAAAGAGCCAGCCAAGTTACTAGATAGATGTAAAAACATCAAATAAGTTAACAACTGAGACTTATATTACAGTTAAAAGTTAAATCATTGCAGTGCCTTTGCAAGGCACATATAGCCAGTGTTTTCAAACTCTGGTTTCAAGTGGCACAAGCGGATAAGAAAGGTGACCCATTCTCCCTGGACGGGATGCCAACTAACAGCTAGGTACCCATCATACAACCAGGTAGACTGGAACAAGTGCGGTAAAGCGTCTTGCTCAAGGACACAACAGCATGACTCAGGCCAACCTGAAACTCGCAACCACCCGACTACGAGTCCAAAGCACAAAGTTACTGAGCCAAATTGCCCCTACATTACAGTATGTATGGTAATAAATTACAACTTAGAATGCTTGATATTAATGTTTAAAAGAAAACTGCTTTGTCATTTACATGATATATCATTCAAAGTCAGTGGATTTATCGCTCCCTCTACAATTTCTAAGAATGGACTACAGGATGAGTTAGAAGAATGAATTCTATCCATCTGTTTTCTCAACTCAAATTATTAACTGCTCTTAGAATGACATCAATCATTTCTTCGTCTCCAGTGTCATGCCTGCATGCAGATATTGACGATCATGATTTTTCAACTCTCTCTGTCCCTGGTGTTATTCGCAGATACTAACCCTTCTAGCATTACACCGGTGGTCTATTTTTCTTTCAGCCATTTTAGTGACAATAATGATATGTATTAATTAGCCTTTATATATCGTAACACTTCCAACAATGAAATATATTTTGCTGTAAGATAAAAGCAGAACGTTTTGGTAGCTATGGAAAAAAAAAGAAAGGTACAGTAAAAAGATAATACAAAATATTGGAACATATTCTTGACAAATAATAGTTTATTTCCTAAAACTTTGTATTTAAAAAAAGGAAGTATGAACCAAATCAATTTGTATAATTTCAATTATATGCAAATAAATAATAATAATAAAATAAATAATACACAACTTTCTACTGAGTTGGTCCATCATT